AAAGTGTAATTGCTCCCTGTCTAGCAACACCTGACACCCCAGTGATAGTTCCTACCTATATGGAGTTTCACCTTAACCAAAGGCGACACCTGCTGGAACAATTTGTGTTTGCACTTCATAAACATGGCTCCTACATAGGCATTAAACTGGCTTTCTCTATAGTAGTGACAAGGGCCTAGATTAGAGTTTGTTGAGAAGAAATTAATATCAGGATCAAAATTTGAATCATGAACATTTCCTTTTTCATGATTTAATTCAAATGGGTTAAACAGCATATTGTCTATGTCTAAGTGTTTTGAGTCATGACTGTCCATCAGGTAGGAGGCAAATTCATCATCAAGTATAGAGAAAGGAAATAGACTTACACATTCTTTACAAATCCAAGATGCCCATATGCCAGATGACTTTTTAGATACCGGTGTAAACCTAATATGAGACCCATTTTTACATAGTGCGCAGAAGATGCTCAGAATCATACTTTTTTGACACTGCGAACACTGATCTTGTTTAGTCATATTATGAAAGGAGTAAACATAGTACAGCAACATGGATTCCTTATGTCATTACCTCATTTCTTCTTGGCTTATGTGAAGGTGGATGCACGATGAGCTTGTCATATCGTAGGTAAGCTATATCACCTCTCTCTCGTGCAGCTTTCATCTCTGGCAAAAGTTCTCTCCGCTTCTGCCGAACTGTTTCAGAGAAGTCCTCATTTATATAGACGTTCGACCCCTTCAGGGTTTTTGCTTTAGCCAGAATGGAGAGTTTGTCCTTATGCCTTAGAAGCTTCACTGTAATTGGACGGGGTTTGTTGCCCATTGGAGCAGGTTTACCTGAACGATGAGCACGTTCAATTTCAATCTGACGGTGATCTAATTTCATCTTCTCTGAAAGAAGGCTCCTAATTTTTTCTTCTGTCTCCGACACAGCACTATTACTTTTTTTACCCAGCAGATGGAGCAAAAAGGATGTGAGTACAAGATACGATCTGTGGGTCGCTATAATACGGGGAATATCATACATTTTTAATACAGTGCCTGTGACGTCAACAGCGCCTTTTTGAAAAGTTGAAAGAATTTCAACTTGAGCGTATGGACGTGCAGCACTTTTCTTCTTGGTGCACAAGCGCTTCATGCAGACACTTCTGAGCGTACAGCCAGCGGTTTTCTGCCCGGAAATACTCACTAGAATGTGTGTGAATTGAATTTCGCCTCAGTCTGGTAGTAGCTCGCTTGGTAGGCAGTGTTCTCCAGATTAGTGGGAGTGGGCTGCAGTGCTGAGTCTGGGAGTTGTTGTCTTTCATCCACATGAGCCAAAAAGACACTTTCTGCCTTTTCTCAGTCAAGAAGGCATCAACTTCAAAATGTATTTCACATTTCTACGTATATGACCCAATGTCAATACAGATTCATGTTTCAACCGGTGAAGTATCCCTTCAAATAAAGTTTTAAAAATGTTATGTTATGACCATGAAATCGTTTTCTGATAAAACAACTTACATCACACATAACCCGGATCATGTTTGAGAAATCCTCTGCAAAGAAGCATGGAAGGCCAAGTAGGGCATCTGTAAGTCTGTTTTGGTTTGAATCCTACAAAGGTGGGGGGAAAATCAGGTCAATATTACCAGCGGTTGAACATTTTTTTTAAACCTTTGCTTGAAAGTACAAATACATACTGAAATATCATCCACTGCATTACATTATGTTTGGTGTCACTGTCCAGTGAAAAACCATGTCCCTCGAAAATCCTCTTTTCATGAGCTCTCAAACCAGGTCTTATTTTAGCTGTGTGATAATTTTTCCAGTAATTTCAAAACAATTTAAAGAAAAAAGTCATTTCAGACTGAAGGATGAGTCATCAGTAGGCATGTAAAGATCACACACGCACGCAATAATAAAAAGTCTGTAAGAACCATCAGAAAAAACAGTCGTCTGCTTAGTTGACTTTGGACTTTTCTGGGCATGTCTCTCTCTCTGCCGTTACTCAGGGGATGCGTTGAGACCATGCTGCATTCAGGGGTGCTCAGACAACGAGAGATACATTCAGGTGCGCTCAGAAACGGAAGTTGCGGTAACAAAAACTAAGCTGGACAGACCGTTACAAGTTCAAATAATTGTTCAGTTGTTATATTGACTGCTGTCATTAAAAGAAACACATGAACACCATGATTCCTGTGTCTGTGGTGTTATCCAACTGACACCCCCCCCCCCTCCTCAGAGCTCTAAACCTAGGGGAAACACTGTAAAATAAATTGTGAAACAATCGTATCGTGAACCCAGTATCGGGAATCGTATTGACAGTTGAGTGAATCGTTACATCCCTAGTCATCAGGCATGTAAAATGTTTTACAGGAAGAGAACTTTTTTGATTATTTAGATGCAAAATACTCAGATAATGCTTTACTGAAATATATTTGGCAAATAAATGAACATTTAACACAAGAACGCCGGATTAAAACCGGGAAAATGTATTTTTGATTTCATGGGGACTTTAATGTTTATCTCTACACAGTGCTTACCTCTTTCCCAAGACACTGCAGAATTCTTCTCAGGATTAACCTCTTGTTGGATGTGACACCTGACTGGTACAACTCTATAAGGTTTGGTAACAAGGCATCTAGTCCACCAAAGAAAGACTCCATCAGGTCTGTGGTGACAATCCTCCTGAACTCTGAATTTAGCTGAAACATATGGATAAAGAGAAAAAAAGGTGACCTAAAAGAGCAGCATAAAGCTATATGCAGGGCCTGAAATTAAATTTTATAAATCTTTATAATGCTGTAATAGTCTTTGTTGTCCACTGAAAGAAAATGCACAAAACTTACATTTCCACCTCATCAACTGTTTACCACTCATGCGCGCGCAGCACAAAGGGGAAAATACAACTTTCAAGTCATTATCTAAAATTAAAATACATTATTTTTTACTCACTGGTCAATAAAAATTATGAAGTTTAATATGATTCCCCGTTCTTATCCACCTTGTAGCGAGTTGGCCATGAAACTTGAGTTTAAGCAGCACGGCAAATAAGCTAGCACTCGGCCACGAAGGAAGGAGCATTAGCTAATGACACGACGTTGCATTTTGCCTTTCCGGACATTAACTACCTACAACAAATAATTGATCCTACAACTGATAACAACAACAAAAACAATAAAATGACTTATTAATAATGATAATATATTAAACTTACATCCAAGTCCGAATGCTGTCGGTTCACCGAAGACGTTCTCTCTCCCTACGGCTGCTTCACAGGACCGTTGAATTACTCCGCCTCCGTTCAAGCTATGTTATCAGGCGCACGGACTTCCTCCGCCGCAGGAAAGAGTCCTCTATTGTTGTCCAAATTTAGGTTGAAATTCGAATGAAGAGCAGATATACACTATACAATGTGTACTTTTGCCTATTTCTTACCATGGTTTAAAGAACAGTGATTCTGTCAAAGTCCTGGCTGTAATGAAGATAATAAAACTAAACTCAGTTGGGACACTAGTCTGTTGCTTTCCACTGGATTCACTCAGGTGTGTCGGCCAGAACACCACTTCAGGCCTTATTCCAGAATATGAATAACAAGAGGGCAGATTTGGTTGAATGGCTGTTTACTTCTTCCTCATGAAACAAAATACAGGCATCTCAGTGGCCATTAAATATGACAGAGTATTGGGTCTTGTTGTGGTTTTCTATAAGAAAAAGAATAGCAGAATATATACTTAAGGAACACATCTGAATGCTTCATCTTACCTCTATAATAACATACAAAACACTACACAGTAATGTAATAGGTTATAATATGTAAATAAATAAAGGTAAGCTACATGTCTCTTTAACCTAAAGTATTAAGCACAGAAAGGCTATCGTAGGCTTAACAGTCATACAATCATTTCCCTATAAAAATACTACGATGCTTTTATTGTGAAGCACGGACATCAAACTTTCCTCCTCGTGCAGAGAGCAACACAGTTAGTAAGCATGTCGGGCCGTGACGTCGGCAATTAGCATATCCAGAATACGCCGAACATCTAAGCTCTAAACTCTGGCTCCGCAGGAGTTAACAACTTTGCCTCAACATTAAAGAACACACAATGTCACATATAAGACTTCAGGTAAGTACTCACTCACGCACAACCAACTTCTGAAGTGATTACTCTGCACACTGATGGCTCATCTGTCATCGACTGATGCACACTGCTCATTACTACATGATGTAATTCTCTAAAATGACCAGCAGGTGACACCTCTTCCCTATTGAGCACAATATCATCACATTGATTTCTGCAAGTTTCACTTTTGAAAACTCATAAATGTAAGTTAAAAATCTAAAACTTGGGTCGGTTATTTGAGTTAAAGAAAATAAGTTAGTGGAGATAACTAAATTGGGCTGTGATGTTTTACAGTGTATACTTAGTACATATCAATCTTAATGTTGGGCAATTCCAACTATGTGTGAATAGGCTCCTATACTGACTTTGTTAAGTGATATATAACTTAAATCAAATATTAATCAGAAACAATAACAAGATTTCTTAACCTTAAAAAATAAATACATAATACATATAAATATACCTAAAATGTACAAAAATATACAACATAAATACATTGTTGATTTCACAATGAACAGAATGCAAAAACAGAATGAAGCAATACTCATGAAATGAATATAGACTGTGTGTAGTATAAATCACTCTGTAGGCCTTTTTTTATCAACACTGCCATCAAGTGGTGATAAAGACATAAAGTGAGACGATCATAAGATGAATACTATGGAAGTGATTAGTGATCAGAATTCAAATGATAACATGTAATCATTTAAATAAAAATGCACATTCTTTGACTAAATAAAATTTAGAAAATTACATTTGCTTTTTCAATTTAAAAAATGTGCATTTTTGAAGTTGAAAACTAAAATTCTATTTAGATAAATTAGTCATAATTTTATTTTTGAGTCAAATAATACTCCCATATTCTGAAAATTAAAAAACATTTCTGTTGATGGATTTTAATTTTCAAATTAGCTTTATCATTTGAATTCTGATCACTAATCGCTTCCATACAATACTATCTACATTCTGTAAACATGTTTAAGACACAAACCTTACAAACCTAAAGAAATTAAAAATACATTCAAATATAAATTGTTTGTAAATGAGAGACACAACGAAAGCATACTGCTCCTGTTTCTTTAACAGCCCGCACAACCTTCAAAAAAAGATTTGGCATCGTGACTAAACTGTCAAAGCCCAGTTTCCTGTTTGATTTCAAACTAAAAGCACAGAGGCTAAATACAAACAGCAGGTGAGTGAAAGTTGTGGGGGAAAAAAAGAAAGAAAATAAGACAAAACCTATTTAATTTTTGTTTTTAGTTAAAACGGACTGTCTTCTATTGATAACATCTGTACACCGAAGCTGGGAAACACACCTTTTCAGGTGGGCACCTGAGAGCAGATGAACAAACAGTGTGTCTGCATATAAAACCAATAGTTAACATTGTTCCGTCCACTTATTAAGAGATATTTGAAGTTTGAAAAAGTAGCCTAACTTAAGCCGTGTAGCCTCGCATGTAGGCGTCGTGACTACACAATAGTCGAGCTTCTACCTTATTGTGAAGGTCGGAGGTATACACAGACCGGAAGCTCAGGTGTTAACATCTGGACGAGACACTGTCGTTTAGAACCTTGCCTGTTTGTCTGCGTCCTACAGCCGCGCCCCTTTGTGTTACCTGAGCCCGACTGCTCCAAGAAGTGTTGACTTGATCCTGTTCTGACTTGTTGGAAGGAGAAATAACAACCCACGAGTTGTTGGAGTTAAATCAGAGAGTAAAAGTGTTTTTCTGTTCCTGCACCCGAGACGACAAAGTGAAAGTGAAAGTACACTGAAGGTACGACGGCGGCTGCGGAGCATACCTGTGATTATTCTGCTGCTCTGCAATGGGTTGCTTTATTTCCTGGCCTCGTTCTTATTTACCTCCTGCCTCGGTGAGTTTTTCTTCTTTAACATTCTGCTGTTTTTATCTTGAGACTTAATGAACCTACAGAGCTGCAGACCACACCACGAGCAGGACCAGACATGTTCAGTAATCATTAATACAAAGAGGGTTCAATAGTTCACTGCAGCTAAAACTGTTTCCTTATCAGACATGTACATAAGTTTTGACCTGTGCAGTATTTTTGCTTTTAAAAATGCATAATTCACATGTTTATTATGAAGTAATAGACTTTATAGAAACACAGCATTACTTAGATACGTTTGTTAATAACAGACTAAGAAATACACCTGATGATATTAGTCTATTTCATGTTTACTTTTATTTGTTTTAACTTTGTATTCAAATGTTTAACATCGACTTTACACTTGTTACACATGAACAAACTAAACACACATCTTCACCACTCTTTACTCAGCATGTATCATCATGAAGTGTTAATCCTGGACAATGGCAGAGACGTGTTCTCTGGTCATTGTTCAGGCAGAAGTTTGACATATTTTACTGAGCGGAATCATACTGAAAGTTTTGACAGATAGATCTTGATGCATGGTTTTGTTCTCCGACTTAGAAAATATTCAATTCATGTAACACAAATAAAAGCCGGACTATCTCACAATTAAGACACTGGAACAAGGATTCTGGAAACATAAGTTGAAGGAGAATTTGTTGTTAGTCAGGAGGTGTTCAGGTACAACTGCTTGTGTTTTAAGTGAATAAAATGTTAAACAGCTGATCTGTCTCCATGGTGATCCAATAACTGATGAATTCTGTCAAAATGCTGCTGTGTCGCCATAGAAAGTTGTTTAAATGACCTAGACTAAAAGTGACTTAGTCCTGCATTGAGATTAAAAATCTTATTTACAAGAGTAAAGCAGTACAATAAACACATTACAGAGATAAACACACAGAGTAATCACAAACACAGATCAACATCCTGAGTCACAGAGAAGAAAAGTTAATTATTCAAAGCATCTACAACCTGAAGCATCTTCCTCCAACACCTTCAAACTACTTTAAAAAAGATTTAAAGAGGGGCGCTGGTGGTGCAGTGGTTAGTGCGCGCGCCCGATGTATAGAGGCTATTGTCTTCCAAGCGGGCGGCCCAGGTTTAAATCTTGCATGTCATTCCCCACTCTCTCTCTCTCCCTTATTTCCAACTCTATCCACTGTCCTGTTTCTCCATTAAAGGCACAAAAAGCCCAAAAATAAATCTTAAAAAAAAAAAAAAAAAAAAGATTTAAAGAGACAGATCATCCTGCAGGAGATTCCAGACCGCATGAGCAGCTTACCTTAAAGTCCTTTTCTCCATTTTTTTTATTTGGATAAAAAAATGAAGTTCTAGCCTTAAATCCAAAAGTACAACGGTCATGGATTAGGGCCATGTTAAAAAAATATTATTTATTTTAATTTCGAGATTAAACTCGTAAATTTATCTGTTATTACTATATTGTACTCGTAATAAATGTGGATGGAGAAAAAACAGCAAGTTACTAAAAACACTTTTGTACGATGGAGGATTTAAGATTTAAGATTTAAGAGATTAAAGTCATAAATTTACGAGAATAAAGTCATAAATTTACGAGTTTAATCTTGTAAATTTGTGACTTCATTCTCGTAAATTTACGACTTTATTCTCGGAGTTTAATCTCGAAATTATTTTTTTGTTTTTTTTAACATGGCCGTAATCCTCCGTCGTACAAAAGTGTTTTTAGTAACTTGCTGTTTTTTCTCCATCCACATTTATTATGAGTACAATATATTAATAACAGATAATAATGCTCGAGTACTAAACAGGATTAACGGTCTCTAAATTCTATAAACACGTTTCATTAGAGTTGTTTTAAATATGCAGAACCCTTACAAAGACACATGCTTCATATTCTCATACCTCTCTATGATCAGTTCTAGGTGCTGAACCGCCTACAAAATATGTCCTCAAGGGGACGGGGGAGAGCTTGAAGCCGACCTTTTCTGGACAACCAAATTCAATTCTGTGGAGACATAACGGAAACAAAGTGGTGGAGTTTGACAGCAGAGAGGAACAGGTGTACGGAGCGTACAAAAACAGGATCACTCTCGACTGGGCCACAGCAGAGCTCGAAATCACCGGCCTGAAGTTTGAAGACAGAGGACTCTATGAAGTGGAAGTCGACATCGACAACATTTTCTATCTGTCAGAATTCAAACTGGAGGTCATAGGTAAATTCAACATTGAACACACAGATTATAATCAATCCATCCTACAGCTGGAAGAGGGTTAAAAGTAAAACCTCAGAGTAAAATGTGAATAGAAACAGAAAGGGATGATTTGAAACATTGAAACCCCGTATGGAATTGAAAATAGCACAAAGACAACCTGCTAAATGTTGAAACTGTGAAATGACATTGTTTAATTTAAAAAAAAAAATCTACTTTTTTGAAGCAAAAATATGTTTTTGAAAATGTCCAACTTTTTGGAAACCAAAGTTTTTTTCATGAACATTTTCAACATTTTTTGAGGCCGAAATTTTTCACAAAAATATTCAGCTTTTTTGATTTTGAATTTAGTTTAATTCCAAAATGTTTAAAAAGAAAGTTGGTGCAGTAGCACAGAAGCTGATGGAACATGTCAAAGTTTAGAAGGTGAACTGGCTACAGGTTAGTAACATGATGGTTTAAAAAAAAGATGTGAAGGGTGTCTGTGAAAGTCTGTGCTGAGGTGAAACAATTAGAATCTTGTTGTTGTTTTTAAGATTCAGAGAATCTAAAGAAATATCTGTAAGTGGAGGACAAGGCCAACAAAACAAACTGTGTGTCCCTGAGACAGCCCTGCTTTAAAAACAGATTCTGTAGTGGACACGGCATTGGCTCAGAAACAGAGTTCTAGCTAGCTGGAAAAAAACTCCTTAATGTACGTCGCTTTGGACAGAAGCATCTTGTGAATGAATTGTAGAATCAGGCACACAACAGAGAAATCTAAAGAAACTGCTGAAGCTGTGAAGAAAAGCTGAAACATCAGAAGATGAGTTATTTTTCCAGAAATCCGTTTTAAACTTTGTGGCTTTAAGCCCTCAGAAGCTGAACTGAATGGATGTGCAAGGCTGATACAGATTCAGTGAGTCACACTGTTGGGCTGTAAAATCTGCTTTATGTAGAATATTACCAATGATCAACTTCAGAACTGTTATAAAACCTTTCACCACAGGTTTTATGGCTGTTGTGGGGACATCTTTATAGACTGTGTACTTTTGGCAACGTTCATATTTCAAGTCGCTCATTTCATCACATTTGTATTTTTGAGGATTTCAAGTGTCTGAATTGCATTTTTCTTTGGTGATGTAAATCATACAAGTGTTTAGGACTTGTTGTAATCAGAAACAAACTTATATCATCATCATTATTCTATCACATTCTACACTTCAGGCGGTCAGAACAATCCTTTTCTCACTTTAAGTTACCGTGGGCAAGTAACTGTAACAGGACTCTAAAAGGAACTGAAGGCACTGTAGAGGGGAGATCAAATATTATCTTTTTATATGTGTGTGCTATCAAATGGGTTTTATAGTCCTGGATCTACTTTTTTACGATGGCCTTGGTATCAGCCGAGAGGTGTGCCCTTGATAAAAAACTAATTGTTCAAGCATCTGAAGACGGTTTATATTCAGTGCCAAAGAAGAAGTTACTTTCACTCTCTTAAGTCACAGAACATAGTGAACACAGTGTGTGTGTGTGTGTGTGTGTGTGTGTGTGTGTGTGTGTGTGTGTGTGTGTGTGTGTGTGTGTGTGTGTGTCCTAAACAACGAGCCACAGTTAGATTTCTTTAACATGACAGCATTCTTCCCTCTAAAGAAGTCGATGTTAATCATACTGTAACAATACTTTATTCATCAGACACACTGATGTTTGACCTCAAACCCGTTCTGATAAGCAGTGTATGCCCTTTATACCCGACATTATGTTATCATATTATTCACTTGTTTGCACAGATTTTATGTTTCTTTGTATACAAACCAGGACCCGACACATATGGGATTTTTGGGGCCGATATATCGAAAGAATTTATTGGCCAGAATAACAACAGTAAACTGTTTTAAATGTGATTTTTCTCACTTAAATGCAGAAATCAAGTATCTGAAAATAACTCTGTGAGTCATGACTGTCTGCAATGGGTGTAACACCCGAGTCCCACTGTCTGTGATGTTTTTAAGAGTCAAAGTCAAAGTCAACTTTATTGTCAATTTCAAAATATGCCAGACATACAGTGGAATCGAAATTGCTTTTTGTTTCTGTCCCACGATGCAATACAACCAGAATAAGGTAAAATAAGATAAGGTAAAAATAGATAAATAAAATGAGGTAAAAATAAGATAAATAATATTTACAGTAATAAATTCTAAATTGTGTAAAAGGTACAAAATGGTAAATAAAATAAAATAAAATTTAAAGAAAAATTAAACTTGTGCAATATGTGCAATGTGCAGTAAACTGAGTGTACTTTTGAGATGTTAGCTTCAGAGTTATTAGTCCAGAGTTCTTGGAGGAAAATGGGAGGGGGTTCAACGTCCAGTGTTCGTGGGGGCAGAGGGGAGGGAAGGAAGAGAGGGGAGAGAGTTAAGCTTCCTGACAGCTTGGTGGAAGAAGCTGGTTCCCAGTCTGGTGGAGCCGGCCCGCAGGCTGCGGTACCGTCTCCCGATGGCAGGAGGCTGAAGAGGCTGTGTGAGGGGTGGGTGGGGTCACGCACAATGCTGGTTGCTTTGCGGGTGAGGCGGGTACCGTAGAGGTCCAGAAGAGAGGGGAGTGGGACACCGATAATCCGTTCAGCAGCCTTCACTGTGCGCTGCAGGGTCTTGCGGTTGGCAGCAGTGCAGCTCCCAAGCCACACAGTGATGCAGCTGGTCAGGATGCTCTCGATGGTGCCTCTGTAGAAGGAGCACATGATGGATGGGGGGGCTCGTGCTCTCTTCAGCTTGCGGAGGAAGTAGAGGTGCTCCTGGGACTTCTTGGCCAGTGATGTGGTGTTGGTTGTCCAGGAGAGATCCTCACTGATGTGAACCCCCAGGAACTTGGTGCTGCTCACTCTCTCCACAGCAGCACCGTCGATGGTCAGTGGGGGTTTAGGAGTGGGGACTCTCCGGAAGTCGACAACAACCTCCTTAGTCTTGTCGACGTTCAGGAAGAGGTTGTTGTCTCTGCACCACGTGGCCAGTTGGCTGACCTCCATCCTGTAGTGCGTCTCATCGTTGTTGGAGATGAGACCAACCACTGTTGTGTCGTCCGCGAACTTCACAATGTGGTTGCTGCTGAAGGATGGAGCGCAGTCGTGGGTCAGCAGCGTGAAGAGCAGGGAGCTGAGCACACAACCCTGGGGGGCCCCAGTGCTCATGACGGTGGTTTTTGATGTGCTGCCGCCGACCCGCACTGTCTGAGGCCTCTCGCTGAGGAAGTCCAGCAGCCAGTTGCACAGGGAAGTGCTGAGCCCCAGCTGGTCCAGTTTGCCGATCAGCTGCTGAGGGATGATGGTGTTGAATGCTGAACTGAAGTCTATGAACAGCATTCTGACGTATGAGTTTTTGGTGTCCAGGTGGGTGAGGGCTGGGTGAAGAGCAGAACAGATGGCATCCTCGGTGGATCTGTTACCTCGGTATGCAAACTGGTAGGGGTCCAGGGTGGCGGGGAGGGTGGATTTGATGTGGGCCATGACTAACCTTTCAAAGCACTTCATGGCGATGGGGGTCAGTGCAACAGGTTGATAGTCATTGAAAGTGGATGGTGAGGGCTTCTTTGGAACGGGTATGATGGTGGTGGCTTTGAAGCACGACGGAACAACAGCCTGACTCAGAGAAGCGTTGAAAATGTCTGTGAAGACATCTTTGAGCTCCTCTGCACAGTCCTTCAGCACACGGCCAGGAATGTTGTCTGGACCTGCAGCCTTGCGGGTGTTGATCTTGGAGAAGGTTCTCTTCACCCTGGCTGCAGTCAGGCACAGGGTCTGGTCGTGGGGAGGGGGGGTGGTCTTCTGTGGGGGCGTGCTGTTGTGTGCTTCAAACCTGGCAAAGAAGCTGTTGAGGGCGTTCAGCAGAGAGGTGTTGCTGTCACAGGTCTGTGGCTTGGGTTTGTAGTCCGTGATGGTCTGGATACCACGCCACAGGCTCTGCGCGTCTCTGCTGTCCTTTAAGTGTCCGGTTATTTTTAGTGTGTAGCTGCGTTTGGCTTCCCTGATGCCACGGGACAGGTCGGCCCTCGCTGTTCTCAGGCAGGCTGCGTCCCCAGCTCTGAAGGCGGTGTTCCTGGCCCTCAGTAGCCCGCGTACCTCTCCTGTCAGCCATGGCTTCTGGTTAGCCCGGGTGGTGATGGTTCTGGTGGTGGTGACATCAGCAGTGCATTTGCTAATGTAGGAGGTAACAGTGTCAGAATACTCCTCAATGTCTGTGTGGTTGTTGTAGGTGGCTGCCTGCTTAAACATCTCCCAGTCTGTGGTATCAAAGCAGTCTTGTAGCGCAGCAGAGGCCTCCTCTGGCCACACACATACCTGCTTCAGAACTGGTTTGGTGACTTTAACCCTCGGTCTGTAAACTGGCATTAGCATTACACTGATATGGTCAGAGTGGCCGATGTGGGGGAGGGGTGAAGCTTTGTAAGCACCTTTAACTGATGTGTAAATCATGTCCAGAATGTTACCTTCTCTTGTGGGAAAGGTCACGTGTTGGTGGAAGTGGGGTGAAACCATCTTGAGATTTGCATGATTAAAATCCCCAGCGATGATGAAAAATCCGTCTGTGTGGGCTGTCTGTTTTTCAGAATTTTTTTCAGAGTTTTCAGAGTCCTATCTTCAGTTTGTTTACATCGCCCGGACGGCCGGCTGACTCCTCCCCTCATGTATAAAAGTTGTTTAATTGAGGGACTAGAGAAAAGAAGAATAACATACTGTACTCACTGCTTAACTGTGTTTCTAGATCACGCTCATTTCAGGTAAATTTACATGCAGTGTGAAGATACCAGCATAATAAAGATCGCTAGCATTAGCATGCTAACACAACAATGCAGTGCGAGTTGTTTTGGTTTCATGCTGGTGCTCAAGGGCGACATCTGCTGGATCAAAAAATCACATATAAAGCCTTTAAAGACTAATTTTTACTTATAAATGAACAATTATTATTAAAAACTATGTAAAACATAAATAAATTTAAATTGAAGAAACCTCGTTAAATTGGCTCATATCGGAGATAAAATTAGTCGATACCAATAGTGATGTGATGGGCTCATATCATATCAGCATCCGATATATACGTAACATACTACAATGATTTCAGTATGTATTCATTTATTTCTTTATTTTTTTACATGTTTCTTCAAGACAAGGTTGCCCGGCCGACCATATCTTGTGAGATAAACAAAGACGGTGGCTCCGATGTTTCTGAGGTCCGGGCGACGCTGCTGTGCTCTGCAGACCCCACCCCACCTGAGTCCATGATGAAGTTTAAATGGAGAGCACGGGGAAAATCACAACTGGGACACAAGTTTAATATTTCTCTGGGAGACGAACGAGATAACGAAGAATACAGCTGTTCAGTCAGCAACCCTGTGAGCAGTGAGACGGCGACATTCACAGCAAAGTATTGTTATCACGGTATGATCTCATGTATAACTGGACGTTCAGGTTTCTGATTTGGTCATTTTGAAGTGAACGTTCTTTTAGAAAACTTGAAGCTTTGTTGCCAAGTTACACTATTTTTCACCAGGGTTTGACAGGAAGTTGAATGAAAATATATATATTTATATATTTTATTGAACCTTTATTTAACCAGGTTGGTCCCATTGAGATTAAAAACCTCTTTTCCACTGAGACCTGGCCGTCGTACGCGTCGTGGACGTCATGTTTTTAGTAACTTGCTGTTTTTTCTCCATCCACATTTATTATGAGTACAATATATTAATAACAGATAATAATGCTTGAGTACTAAACAGGATTAACGGTCTCTAAATTCTATAAACACATTTCATTAGAGTTGTTTTAAATATGCAGAACCCTTACAAAGACACATGCTTCATATTCTCATACCTCTCTATGATCAGTTCTAGGTGCTGAACCGCCTACAAAATATGTCCTCAAGGGGACGGGGGAGAGCTTGAAGCCGACCTTTTCTGGACAACCAAATTCAATTCTGTGGAGACATAACGGAAACAAAGTGGTGGAGTTTGACAGCAGAGAGCAGGAGGTGTACGGAGCGTACAAAAACAGGATTACTCTCGACTGGGCCACAGCAGAGCTCGAAATCACCAGCCTCAAGTTTGAAGACAGAGGACTCTATGAAGTGGAAGTCGACATCGACAACATGTTACGTCTGTCACAATTCAAACTGGAGGTCATAGGTAAGTTTAACATTGAACACACAGATTATAATCAATCCATCCTACAGCTGGAAGAGGGTTAAAAGTAAAACCTCAGTGTAAAATGTGAATAGAAACAGAAAGGGATGATTTGAAACATTGAAACCCCGTATGGAATTGAAAATAGCACAAAGACAACCTGCTAAATGTTGAAACTGTGAAATGACATTGTTTAATTTTCACCAAAATGTTCAACTTTTTTGGGGCCGAAAGTTTTCACGAAAATGTGAAACTTTTTTTGAATTTGAATTAAATTTAATTCCAAAATGTTTAAAAAGAAAGTTGGTGCAGTAGCACAGAAGCTAATGGAACATGTCAAAGTTTAGAAGGTGAACTGGCTGCAGGTTAGTAACATGATGGTTTAAAAAAAAGATGTGAAGGGCGTCTGTGAAAGTCTGTGCTGAGGTGAAACAATTAGAATCTTGTTGTTGTTTTTTTTTACTTACAATTGAAATGACTGTAGGGGGTTCATTGTCTGCAAACTTTACATCATATAAAAAGATTCAGAGAATCTAAAGAAATATCTGTAAGTGGAGGACAAGGCCAACAAAACAAACTGTGTGTCCCTGAGACAGCCCTGCTTTAAAAACAGATTCTGTAGTGGACACGGCATTGGCTCAGAAACAGAGTTCTAGCTAGCTGGGAAAAAACTCCTTAATGTACGTCGCTTTGGACAGAAGCATCTTGTGAATGAATTGTAGAATCAGGCACACAACAGAGAAATCTAAAGAAACTGCTAAAGCTGTGAAGAAAAGCTGAAACATCAGAAGATGAGTTATTTTTCCAGAAATCAGTTTTAAACTTTGTGGCTTTAAGCCCTCAGAAGCTGAACTGAATGGATGTGCAAGGCTGATACAGATTCAGTGAGTCACACTGTTGGGCTGTAAAATCTGCTTTATGTAGAATATTACCAATGATCAACTTCAGACCTGTTATAAAACCTTTCACCACAGGTTTCATGGCTGTTGTGGGGACATCTTTATAGACTGTGTACTTTTGGCAACGCTCATATTTCGACAGTTTTCGCTCATATTTCGTTGTATTTTTGAGGATTTTAAGTGTCTGAATTGCATTTTTCTTTGGTGATGTAAATCATACAAGTGTTTAGGACTTGTTGTAATCAGAAACAAACTTATATCATCATCATTATTCTATCACATTCTACACTTCAGGCGGTCAGAACAATCCTTTTCTCACTTTAAGTTACCGTGGGCAAGTAACTGTAACAGGACTCTAAAAGGAACTGAAGGGCACTGTAGAGGGGAGAGCAAATATTATCTTTATATATGTGTGCTATCAAATGGGTTTTATAGTCCTGGATCTACTTTTTTACGATGGCCTTGGTATCAGCCGAGAGGTGTGCCCTTGATAAAAAACTAATTGTTCAAGCATCTGAAGACGGTTTATATTCAGTGCCAAAGAAGAAGTTACTTTCACTCTCTTAAGTCACAGAACATAGTGAACACAGTGTGTGTGTGTGTGTGTGTGTGTGTGTGTGTGTGTGTGTGTGTGTGTGTGTGTGTCCTCTAAAGAAGTCGATGTTAATCATACTGTAACAATACTTTATTCATCAGACACACTGATGTTTGACCTCAAACCCGTTCTGATAAGCAGTGCATGCCCTTTATACCTGACATTATGTTATCATATTATGCACTTGTTTGCACAGATTTAATGTTTCTTTGTATACAAACCAGGACCCGACACATATGGGATTTTTGGGGCCGATATATCGAAAGAATTTGCTCAAGGGCGACATCTGCTGGATCAAAAAATCACATATAAAGCCTTTAAACACTAATTTATACTTAGAAATTAACAATTATTATTAAAAACTATGTAAAACATAAATAAACTTAAATTGAAGAAACCTCGTTAAATTGGCTCATATCAGAGATAAAATTAGTCGATACCAATAGTGATGTGATGGGCTCATATCATATCAGCATCCGATACATACGTAACATACTACAATGATTTCAGTATGTATTCATTTATTTCTTCATTTTTTTACATGTTTCTTCAAGACAAGGTTGCCATGCCGACCATATCTTGTGAGATAAACAAAGACGGTGGCTCCGATGTTTCTGAGGTCCGGGCGACGCTGCTGTGCTCTGCAGACCCCACCCCACCTGAGTCCATGATGAAGTTTGAGTGGAGAGCACGGGGAAAATCACAACCGGGGCACAAGTTTAATATTCCTCTGGGAGACGAACGAGATAACGAAGAATACAGCTGTTCAGTCAGCAACCCTGTGAGCAGTGAGACGGCGACATTCACAGCAAAGGATTGTTATCACGGTATGATCTCATGTATAACTGGACGTTCAGGTTTCTGATTTGGTCATTTTGAAGTGAACGTTCTTTTAGAAAACTTGAAGCTTTGTTGCCAAGTTACATTATTTCTCACCAGGGTTTGACAGGAAGTTGAATGAAAATATATATATTTATATTTTTTATTGAACCTTTATTTAACCAGGTTGGTCCCATTGAGATTAAAAACCTCTTTTTCACTGAGACCGAGCCGAGACAGGCAGCAGCAAAAACACAAAGTTACAGACGGAAACACAAAGAGAGACAAATTACAGTTTACAAAACACAACATTTTGGATTAAAATAGAACCATCTATGAGTCATATCTGGGAATCAGTCGTTCAAACAGCCGAGCTAAAACATCGAGATCCTGTAGAATCTGCTTCCATGTCTTTCATTTTAGATTTAAAAACATTTAAGGACTCCAGCTCCTTGAGCTTTAAGTCATTCTGTAACAGATTCCAGGCTGAGGGTGCAGAGGACCCAGAAGCCCTTAAGATCCCTTTGACTCAAGGATTCAAAGTTGTTAATAAATAAATCAATGTTTTGGTTGTTGTAAAAGAGAGACTCTATATTCTCCTGTTGTTACAGTTCTACAGTAAGTTGTTTTGGTGATGAGTGATCTACGTCCCTCTAACTTTTGACTCTTGTGTTTCTGAAGATAATTCATCTGTAGCTGTGGCTGTCAGTCTGGCTGTCGTTGGTTTATTTGGTTTAATCGTACTTGTGTTGATCATCTTCTTCTGCAAAAAGAGACAAAAAGGTAAAGTAGAAAGAAATTACACTTTCATTAGAAAAAATGATACCGAAAACATTTCTCAGGATGTAGATTCTAAAGAGAACGACCTGATAAGTAACATGTATGTTTATGAGGTCCAGGTATTCAGAAAGCGATGTGGAACAGTTCAGCGCTCAATACGTTTTCAAAGAGGAAAGGTAGTTTGTGAAGAAAGACAATAATGTTCCCCATTGTCTGAGTAGGTTCTCAGTCATCCAGGTCATGGTACATTTGAAGCTACATTCAAAATCAACTGGACTGGTTGAACATCTTTTCTTTTTTCTTTTTTTATTTGTTTATATAGATCCTTTCAGACAAATTAAATTTCAGTTCAAAGTGCTTTACAAGAGTGCAGAAAAGTTATTGACAAAAAAGTAGTTTATAAAATCACTGAGAGACTAATGCACACCAATAAGAATTAAAAAAATATAAAAATTAAAAAATGAAATACGACACATAAAAGCAACAAGATATTAAAATTAATACATAGGAGAAGACTATATAAAATTGTAGTAGGATAAAAAAAGACAATACAGTAATGTTAAGATTTGAATTGATATAAAACACTATATAAAAGTCGGACTGAATAAATGAGTTTTCAGACTGCGTTTAAAAATCTCAATATTCTCCGCTCAGACCCTCAGGAAGGTCGTTCCACAGTCTCAGACCGTAACAGCTGAAAGCTTTTTGTCCTGCTCTGTGGAACAACTAAGAGAGAGGAAGTGGAGGATCTGAGGGGTCGTACTGGTTCATAAACTAAAATCATATCTGATAGGTAGTCTGGTACAAGGCCATGTAATGCTTTATAAAGTAATAAAAGAAAATCTCGAACGTCTTCAGAATGTCTTCCAGATGTTCCACCAGTCCAGCTGATTTTGGATCAAGCTTCAAATTCACCATGACCTATTGTGTCCTGTTATTTCAGTTAATTTCATTGGAATTATTTTTATTTGAACATTTCTTCAGATTGAATAATTCCAGTGATTTTTAAATGTTCTATTTTAATGTTTCCTTTCTTTCCTCTGTCATGATGCTTTTCATGTCTGAAGCACTTTGAATCGCCTTGTTGTTGAAATGTGTGACATAAATAAACTTGCCTTGCCTTATTGAACACAATCATCTTTTATTAATAATTAAAATCTTCATATTGTATTAAAACTAACAACATACTGATCGTCTTTTCTCTCTCTCCTCTCTCCTTTGCTTCCAGCATGTTTTGCTAAAGGACAACAGGATGATGAGGAGAAACAGACTGAAGGTATGATACTTTATGTTTTCAGGCTGAGACTTCCCTTCTTTTTTTTAACAGATCTAAAACTCATAAATATTTGATTTAGAATATAAAACTGTTAAATAGTCTGTATCTGCAGGTCACCTGACAACAGAGAGGATATTCTGGTGTGCAGAGCTTGGTTCAAGTGAATCTCTTACTGAAACGCTTCTGTCTGATCCGCGACTCAATGTGAGCTACCTTCCAGGTATGGTCCATTGTTTACCTTTAACACAGTTTTGTATTTGAAGAGACAATGCTAGCAAAGTGAAAGACCGTTAGCCAGTTTTCACTCATACATCATTCATTGTGCATATGAACACATTTATTCACATGTGATGCGGTTATCTTTTCCAACATGCAGTTTATAAACATAGCCAATTAGCATTTATCAAATGTATGAAATAGTTGTATTTCACTCTCACGTCTGTCAGCAGAACAAAGTCCTGGAAGTGACACAGCAGCTAGGTTAGCTATGGTGGCTATTTGTCCAAAAAACGAATTAAGTTACAATTCTAAAGAAACCACATGAACTCAACAAACAGCCACTGATGCACCGTTCCAGTGAGGCCTTACGCACACAATAAGTTCAATGTCCAGTCAGGATCTCTTGTTTCTTCATTTAATTTAAACATTTCTAACTGCATTCATTGACCTGTCTCATTGACATGTGGTAAAAAAACCTGTGTCCCTTCCTGGTGCATCACCCAACAGTAACCCTACCCTAACCCAGTGACACACCTGGAACATTTAAAGGGGTCCTAATCAACCCATGTGCACTGCCCCCCTTCATGATTTACTCAGCTAAATAATATCTTTCTCTTATAACTTGGCTAACAGTGTGAGTCCTGAAAGAAGAACATTTCATATCATTTTATCATTTTCAATTTAAAACAATATGTTTTGCTCTTGTATTTTTATTTTAGGGCCTGTTTCCTTTAAAGTACAAAGTTGTTCATTTTAAAAGAATGGGTATCACTGGAACGCCGATAGCCTGGTGGTTGAGGCTGTGGGTTCAGGTCCGACCTCTACTCTCGCCTCCCACAGTTTCCTGTCTCTATTCGCATGTCCTGTCAGATAAATGCAAAAAGGCTCAAGAATTAGTATCACTAATTATAATTCAATTACTTATCATGATTAATACACTGTTAAAAAAATAACAGCAAATTAAGTTACCTTGTTTTTGCTTTTCAGGGAATGTCATGAAGATGGTACGTGAACTAAACAGACGGGCTGGTCAAGGTAAATTCAACAGGGGAGAAAATAATATAAGCTGCGAGCTGTAACTAATGCTTATTTCATTATAACAACCATGAGGGCAACAAGTCCTCTCATTTAAGTCGCTGCAAACCATCAAACATTTGTCATATTTGCTGATAAGCTAATTCATTAATGATTGTAGTGCTTCAGTGTGTTTGTTTGAACAGTTTTTAAAGCTTAAATCTTTCTCTCTCTCTTTAAAGCTCTTAGAAGAAATATTTCTGATCATTGAAGAACTTTACATGTCTTGATTGTTTTCATCTTTCCTTCTTCTGCTGTTATTTTTATGAAACAACCCTAACCTTATCCAAATGACTGAACAATGACATCACACAAATTTAACAATTCAAGAAATAAAACACCCACAACTTTTGAGAAATGTAAAACCATTCTTTCTTACTTTGCCCTCTAGAGCTTACATCCATGTCTGTTACCTGTGTGTATATTTTATTTAGCTCATAGTTTGATTGTGATTTTATTTCTAAACAGTACAGAAAGGAGTAACATGATTAATCTGATTTCAGTTCACTGCATGTCATGAATTATTTTGATCGAAAGAATATTTTTCTCTCCAGAACCTGTTGTAGATACGGAGCCACGAAAAGGTAACACCACAACACACATTCTTAATGTTAGCTGAGACACGATATAAGAGAGGCTAGGAATAAAGCTGGCTGCTTGTGACTCTTTTCTCTTATCAGGTTTCGTCAAAGAGAAGAAAGAACAGTTTGAAAAAAAGGCTAAAGAACCTCAACAGCCTCAAAGCATAACAGGTAATTTTGAATGGGAAGTAGATTTCTGCAAACAGCTGCAGCTGATGTTTATTTTCATTTCCACAATCAAAAAGCAGAGAGTCCTAACATTTAACAAGGTACAACAAATGAATAGTTGTTGTTGTTTTTACTTATAAATGACTTAAAATATGAATTAAATTCATGTTGATTCATTTTCCACCAATCAGAAAATTCCTGTATCAATCTATTGTTTCTGTACTACTCATTGTTTCTTAATAGATTGTTCCTAACTGGGTTTATTGACTCCAGTGTCTGAGACTGTCTCTGTTCTGTTTAGTATCTTTAAGTATTTGTTTTCTCTTGCTGTTTGTTACAATCAGATTCAGAAAGCTAGAACGCTCGCTCTATCAAACTTTACACACAGTACAGACGATTAGAGTATTTCTACAAGGTTCACTTTGTAACCTCTGAGAGACAAAACAAAGCATGCAACAGTACTTTCATTTACTTCTGGATTATTCTTAACAACAATAAAGACAAATGGTTCATTTATGAAAGCACATGATAAAAACTGGAGGAGGGACTTTATTTGTTACACCTAACTCATCACACAGACCGTGTCTCATTTAGGAAACCTCCATGAAGTAAGACTCATTGATTCAAACTAAAAGACTGTCTCTGAATATTTCAGTCCTTTACTAATCCTAAACAGACAGGTGCACTTTTTAAACTCTTCTGTATTCTTTGTACTGTTTATTTTAGAGCCAGAGAAGAATCTAGGTATGGGTGAGAAAGCATCGACTGACCCACCCACAGATCAAACCTCTCCTACTCTTGCCAACTCAAGTCCCCCAAAGACTGAGAGAGGTCCAGATGAGGACCCTGAGGACCCTGCTGGAGTTTAAAAGAACAGGTCTGACTCAGATGAGGTCAATAAAGACACTCAAGATGAATCTGACTCACAAACTGATCCATCAGGTACGCAACAGAACAGAAATGAATCAGACAAATCCTCTGTGAACAAGTCGTCCAGTGTTCCTCATGAGGAAGGTTCAAATACGACATCACAAGAGCAAGAATCTGCCATGCCAAAGGAAGAAGAATCCACAGAAGAAGCTAAACTGGATCCTCCAGCTGAAGAAACATCCAATTTAATGAGTAATGGAGAAGAAATAGATGAGAAACAGCATTTAGCCAACTCAACAGAAGTGAACACCAGCAACACTGTCACATTAAAAAAGGCTTCAGACACTCCACATGCAGATTCAGAGTCTGAGGGGCAGAGCAGGCAGGACTCAGGTGAGAGGGGGGGGGCAGGCAGAGGCAGATCAAGGTGAGGGGGGAAATGATGAAGATAAAGAAGAGGATCAGGGTGGTCCAGAAGATGAAAAGTCAGACGATGAGAGCACTAGTGAGGATAAAGACAAACAACAGAAAGATGGAGTGATCGCTTAGGCCTTAGGAGAAAATATGTGGCAAGAGAAAGTGAAGAAGTAAGTCCTCTATCTCTTTATGTTACATGTTTGTTTTTTGACATATTTTGTAGGAAGAGACGCCCACAGTACCAGAAGATTATCTCAAAGAAAACAAGTTTTTCATTTGCACTAGTTGTTACCTTTCTTTCCTTTTTTTTAAATGAATAACTTCATTAATATTATGAATGTTTTGTGTGTGACTAACTGAATCCTACATGTATTTTTTTAAAGATGTTTCAACTAATAATGCTTCATGAATGTTTTTAAAAATAAGAGAAATGTTTATTTAATTATTAGTTTAACAGCACTAATGTTTCTGATGTCATGCTCGAACCTTTTGAGGTAACATGAGAGACACGACAAGGAACAGAAAAAAAACACTGTTTTTAATCATTAGACAAACTTTGTGGTGTAACAGAATAATATACGACTTATTGAACATCCAGCTACTGTGTCAAAGAATCTGATCACACTGAAGGTGTATTCATAAAGAATGTTTCAGTCAGATATTTGTATTAACTTGTACTGCCATTTATTTTTAAAGAGACAAGTTTGTGTCTGCTAATGAAACTGCTGTGAGGATAATATTTGAAGATTTCTCAGAGCTCAGGGTATAACTGTCACGACTTTTTGTGCTTTCTTGCATTAAATTAGGCGCTTTAGGGAACAGCAGTATAAGTTTTTATGATGAATGTTTTCCATTGGTCATTGAACTGATTGTTAAAAGCTAATGTGATTATTCTATTTACTGTTTTCTCTCTTACAAAAAAACACTCAGTCACTTACTTTTCAAGAAATGCTGTAATGGTACTGTACATTTACAGAAGGTCATTTTAAAGCTGTGAGTAATGAAAATGATTTACAGTTTGAAATGATTGTTGTAAAGAAACATAAAGTAATTTGTTTGTTCTTCCTGATTGTCTCATTTGCTTTTGATGGTAATGTAGAATCGACAGCTACAGTCTGTTTTATAAGCAGATATAAACTCCTCACAGTGGTTTTAACTGTTTGATGGATTCATGAACAGATGGTCACAAACAACTGGCAGACTGGCCAACATCTGCATCCCATCCCTTTGTTTCAGATTCTCATACGAGGTGAGAGGAACTTGTTGTGCCAGCAAGCCTGTTACATCATTCATCCTACAAAGACAGATTTTATTTTTTCTATTTTCTATTTTACATTTTTTAATCCTATTTTATATATTATAATATCTTCTTATTCTGTATTATTTAAGTTGTTGTTAGTTCTGCTTTATTTCCTTGTTAATTGTTTTGCACCAATACACCAAGTCCAATTCCTTTATGTGTAAATGTACTTGGCAATAAACCCAGATTCTGATTCTGATTCTGATTCTGATGGAGATGGAGATGGAGATTCTCTGAGCGTCAACAGGAGAGGCAGTTGACGTGTGTCACACCCTCTGTTGATTGCGAGCTGAAAATCTGGGACGGGATTTTCACGAAAATCAAAGTTTAAAAGAGTCTGAATCCGAAACTGCAGCAGAACAAGCTCTGATCTGAAAACTGGGAAGCGTCTGACGCGTCAGCGTGGCCACAGAGCCCGGGCATCCACGACTACTGCTTTGCCTATTTTCTCTGGTCATCTGCTAAATGCAATATGTGCTACAAAGAAATCTCTGTCATTCATGGGAACAGGAAAAGACACATCTGTCATAGAGAATAAAATCTTAACAACTTGTCTCTGCTTAAGAAAGCCTCTTCTACCCACCCTTCATTTACTTTTGGCCTCTGGAACTGTCAATCTGCTGTGAATAAAACTGAATTCATCCAAGCACTTGCAAAAATGTCAGACATTCAGGCACTTGCCCTTACTGAAACCTGGATCCGCCCAGAAAATACACCAGCTGCTCTTTCTGTTGACACAGTGTTCTCACACACACCCCGCTCTGTTGGACGTGGAGGTGGAACAGGTATCCTCATTTCTAATACCTGGAAATTCAATAAACTCTTCCCACTGAGCAACAACTCCTCATTTGAATATCACACAATCTTGGTTACTGCTCCTATTAAAATGTACATTGCTATCATTTACCGCCCACCAGGGTGTAATCTGAATGATTTTGTTGTGGAACTGGACATGCTACTCTCAGAAATCCCTGATGATGGAACACCACTGATTGTAATGGGAGACATGAATGTACACACTGATAAAGCCCAGGCAACAGACTTCCTTGCTCTCCTATCCTCATTTGACCTCACGCAGGTCCCAACTCCTCCTACCCACAAAGCTGGCAACACTCTTGATTTAATCCTGACTCGGAACTGCTCAACAGCAAACCTGACTGTCACCCCTCTACATCTATCAGACCACTTCTTTATTCAATTCACAATCTCCTGCCGGAACTCCCTCAGGCACAGCCACAAATGGTGTCATACCAAAACATGCGATCGCTCAAGCCAGCTCAGCTGTCTAACGAGGTAATGGCTGCCATGCCTGCCCAAAAGGTCTTTACCGCACTCTCAACAGACGAGGCTACAGACACACTCTACAGACACACTCTCTACAAACACACTCTACAGACACACTCTCTACAGACGAGGCTACAGACACACTCTGCTCCACACTAGCCTCGTCTCTGAACAAGCTCTGCCCTCTGGTGTCCAAACCCGCTCACAAAACCCACCCTAGCCCATGGCTCACGGAAGTCATAAGAGAGCAAAGAGCAGGGCTGAGGTCAGCAGAGAGAAAATGGCAAAAATCCAAACAGTCCGCTGACCTCAATGACTATAAGCAAAGACTTGTCTCATTGTCCAGCCTGAAAACGGCCAAGACAACATATTATCAGAACAAGATATGCAATGCCACAGATACAAGAAAAATGTTTTCTGCTTTTAACTCACTGCTTCAACCACCTCCTCCTCCACTCTCCGATCTGTTCACACCAGACATGTTTGCCTCGTATTTTACTGAAAAGGTTGCAACCATCAGTAGTTTAGTTTAGTTTATTTGCACATTTTTTGAAAGAAGAATCTAAAAGAAAATTAAAAAAATAAAACACATGCGCAAGTGAGGTAGAAACCCATGAGGTCTTATCTCAAACCCTCACCTTAAGAGATTAAACAAAGTTAAAATAAAATACAGTAAAAAATAACAGTAAGTAAGTAAGAATATTTACTATCGCAAATAAAATTTACCCAATTGAAAATTTATCAGCAGACACATTTTACAACCTCTCTTCCTGCAGGACTCAGGACTGTGGATTAACATCTGGGTTTATTTTACCAAGAAACAAAGGAACTGATCAATGATTTAAGTCTCCCTCTCAGACAGGATATTATGAATTTTTACAACACCTGGAATAAACAATCGAGCGGAAACAGAACACTCTGCTATCTACGAATTAACCCCAAAGACATGAACTGTGACCGAAACCAGTCTCTGCAAACTCCTAAAATTGACCATCTGTTGAAGGACTGCTGAAGAGCTGAATTAAACCACAGCGTTTGATTCTGCATCAAATGAACATTTATGTCTTTCTTCATCTAGATATTTGTAATTGTCACATTGAATGTATTATAATCATCTTTTTAAACTCAAAATCTGATCTTCAGAATAGGAATAAGAGTTATATTATGTTTAATAGGAATTTGACGTGGAGCGCTATTGCCATCTAGTGTTAGAATATCCATGAATACGTAACCTTCATAATTATACATTTAGACGTGTTATAAAGCATACTCTTTGATATTAGCTATAGAACGTGTTATTTAAAGACACCAATTTCTTTTCCTACTTTATTAATATGTCTTATTAAGAATGTTGACTGTATAACATGTTTTTGTTCACCTACAGGCTGGGATTAACTGACGATGTTCCCAGATGGTGTGATTTTCATCTCAACATGAATCTGATAGAAATGTTTGTCTAAATATATGACGTGAACCTACATCAACGTAGATCTGATAGAAATAATATCGAAATGAATGTATGGGGACGTTTGATGTTTAGATTCTTATTCTTAATCTTATTGAGTAAACTCGGTTTAGTTTAAACAATTGTCCTCCGATCAGAATGGGAGTCACCCGTGGGCGGCACCCCTCAGACCCCCTCCTCTCAGCCAACTGATAAGAGTTCACACTGAGCTCAGAAGTTTAGTTTCTTCTTAGTTTTAGTTTTGTTTTTGGTTTGTGAAGTTTAGAGCTTCAGCTCCAGAACTTACTTCTTGCAAGATATGAAAATGACTGATTAATTAATTAACTTATACCATTAAAGTTATTTTCTTCCTCTAACAGGAAGTGGTGCCCCTTCTTAAATCCGAGGTTAAATTAAGATATAACATCTTAATAATTTAATTACGCTACACATACACATACACATACAAACACTGAAAACATAAAAATAGAGCAAAGCAGGACATACAGTATGTAGACAATATAACAAAATCAGGACAATTCACTATTCACTACAAATCTTTCTGACATCAACGCATTTCTGAGTCTCAATTTGTATAGAAAAAGACAAAAAATCATCAAGTAAATAAATATGCGTGTTCCATAATTTGACTCCACGGTATCTTATTGAGTCCTCGAGATGTACGACACATTGGTAGGTATAGGTTATGGATTTGTCTAGTTGAGTAATAGTTCACTTGAGAATTAAAAATGAAAAATGCTTCAAAGCTTTCTGGCAAATTTGCACTCTTTAAAATAAAGCTACTTATTTGAAGAGTATTGATATCAAAGATTGTCAATATGTTACACTTCAGAAAAAGAGGGGAGGTTGCATCACAGGACTTGGAAAAAGTTGCCATTCTGACAAAACGTTTCTGGAGTAATAGAATTTTATGAAGATATGTTTGGAAAGTGCTGGCCCATACAATATTGCAATAAGTAAGATACAGATATATTAGGCTGTAATATAATGTTGAAATACAAGAAGAGTGTAAACAAACACAGATGTTTCTAATAATCCCCAGAGATTTTGTAACCTTACTACTGTTGGGGTTGTATCAAGTCAACTTTGGTTATATTCTTTAATAATTATACTTAATTATTAATAATATAAATAAAATATCATTAAACTATGTTTAATCTCGTTTTGGGGCACCAACCTGTAATCAGCTAAATATAACCAAAATATCACTCAAATCAGTCTCAAATTAGTTATTTAATTACTAATATTATTAATAATGAATAACTATATTTAATAAATTGAAGGCGTGAAATCCGTACACAAAGCCTTTGCACCCAGCTTATATCACAATGCAAATACACCAGTAACCACAAACAACTGCTCTCTTAAATTATAACAGAATTTATTTAAACAAAGCAACATCAATCCAAAATCAATGAATTTAATTAAACAAATAACTATTATAAACTAATCTAAGCAACAAACATTATCAAGCAAAGGCTTGTGGAGGGGGTGTGAATGTAGGTGTGTGTGTGTGTGTGTGTGAGAGAGAGAGAGAGAGAGAGAGAGAGAGAGAGAGGGGGAAGAAGAAAGGGGGGGAGATGGCTTCGTACCCACGTGGTCGTTCACGATGGCGCAAACCGAACAAAGACCTGGGTGTGTGCGCATGTGGATGAAAGGGAGAGAGAAGGGGGGGGAAGATTACTTCGTCCCACGTGGTCGCCCTTCCGATGGCACACACCTAACAAAGGCCTAAATGTGGCCTTAAGGTCTAAAAGAGACTGAGTTCGGCCCTACACGATCTGTGTCTCTGAGGCGTCTGGATAGCCGCGAGTGTATAGATCTCTGTGCGTAATGGCGCGGTGGTGGAGTTGGTCTCCAGATGTACGTTTACACAGGAATATGTGTGTATGTGTGTGTGTTCGTAGAAGGGGAAATAAAAGAGAATAAAAGAGAAATGCGTGCCTGAAGAGGCCGGATCACAGTCTGACTCCCGCGCCACAACTCGGAGTAATTCCCTTCATTCACAGAAACAAAC